ATATCGAGCTTCTGCTCATCGAGAAGGTGAGCTGGACACTGAGTTGGCTGTATGAATTTCATCTATAAAAGACAATATGAACTATAATGTATGAGCATTAATTCGAAAGGAAACAAGAGAAGAAGCTCAAATGTGCTCGAGTGCTGTCTGGTCGAATTCGATACGAGTTTATATACTAGCAATAGGCGGACCCAATGCAAAGAACAAAAGAGAGGCTGATCATTAAAGATTCTTTCTGTTCACGTGAAAAACATTCTGAACAAACGGGGGAAGCCGTTAGAAGGAAGAAAAAATGGAAAAGATCATTGAGAATTACGAGAGAGGACCGTATCTATTCCTTAACATATCACTCCTATCACTTTGATAATGAGTATTTGAAAAGAAGAAGAAAAACCAGACAAAACTATGACGAAATAATGCTAGAAAAGAAAAATACGGAATCAAAGAGAATGATTCAATAAGAGAGTTTAGATAGTGAGAAAGGGACTACCGATAGAGGGCTAGGAGAACGAGTGTTAAAGAGAAGACGAAAACATTCTGATGTCAATGAATCGTAACTTTTCTGGTTCTTTGCTTCTGTAGAACAAAGTACGACTGTTACTATTTTTGGAGTTGAATGCAGGCCAAAGTTTGGTGAGAGACTCACAGGATATACTTTATCCTCTCTATCTTGAAATGTAGTCCAGAACATCAATTAGATGGGATTCCCCCAAATCATACATTCTCTCACTACATGTAATCACTCTCATCAAGAAACAATATCTCTAATTCACTCATTTGAAAAAAAAATGACCAGCTGCTTGAATGGCTGTCAACATAAGAATTCTGAAGAAAAATTTAGAATATCATGAGCAGAAGCTGAGAATAATAGGAAAAGGTTGTAGAGAAAAATATTTTTCCTCACAATTCGAAAACCATTTGATAATAAATATGTTCTCTCATCCTCTTACTGAAATCCTTATATAGCTATCCTCATTTGCCTATAGCATCCAGTGATCTTTGATGCATTGTGTTTTGGGGAATTCCTTCGCTTGTTTTTTTATTTATTTATTTTTGTATAACAGTTGACCTAGTAATTTTGAATGAATGTGAAAGGGGGGGGGGGGGGTAAGAGATAGAGAGACTGCTCAAAAATGAATCTTTGATGTTTTACCCAAATATAGTCGTATAGTAGTGAAAATATGAAAGTCTATCTACATAACGTCACTTTCAAGAGCTAAACACCTTGCCCGAGCCTATATAAGAATGTATTTTTCTTCATATTTTCTTTTAACGTAAGCAAACATCATAATAACAATTTATGTGTTTGAATTATTTAAAAGGAATTTCAACTATCTTTAGATAGAAGAATCTGACTTGGCTTTGTAACTTCTAAAGAATCATCTTTTGACATTCATTACAACATCAACTATTGGGATTACTGTGCCGTATATGGTGTCCAAATCAGTCTCTGGCACCATACTAACCGTTAGAACTTGCATTTTTAGAAGAATTTCTTGTTTTATTAAGTTTTTTAAAATTAGAATGTATATATGTGATTGCTGATCAATCGTTCTTCAAAATCTTTGAAAGTGTTCAGCTCTACTCTGATCTCTCTTGATGACGCTTGTGCAGCAAAGTTCCTACAGTGAAATTTTAATCTTCTTGTTCTTAGCAGTATGTCATCTCTTGCAAATTTTGCTAATCAAATAAGGAAGAAAAAATTATGATGGACGAGAAAACGTAGGAGGATAGAGAGAGAAGAGAGAAAGAAAGAGAGAAAGACAGTTGGTAAGAGAAGAATGGAATTGATCTTTAAAGATAAGTTTTCTTTCTTTTAAAAGATTTTTGCACTTTATTGAGAATCGCACCTGAACATCACGTGAAGAAACACAATCATCACCAATCTTCACAGCAATCGGTGCTACGTCAGTAGGAGTCGAAGTTTGAATATGAGTACTAGTTGACATGATTGAGAAGAACAGACGTTGATGACTGAAAAAGGTGAAACATGACATCAGTGTTTGAACTTTTATCACTTAAGGTCATTGCCTTCAGCGTTCACTTCAATACATATTTCACAAAGTTATAATTAGATGAAACTTGAATAAAATTAGGATTGTGTCCTGAAGTACTTTTGTGATTTTTTTGATCTTTCAAAGGTTCCCCCATTCATTTCTTTCTCCCAGTCTCATCCAACTACTCGTCCCCGTCTTCTACCGTCTACACTTTACTTCTCCCAACTGAGAAGTAGCTATTCTCTTCTCATTTCAATGACTTCTCTCCAATGCCAATGCCAATTGTCTTTCTTTTTTATATTCTTTCATACCCAAATGAAGACAGTGAATTACGAATTGCTCGAGAAATCTTAGAAATGTTTTCTGCTTTTCACCCAAGAGTTCTCTCATCCTTGTTGTAATTTTTGAGTTTCATAAGCCGACCTATTCTCACATAGTCCCGTTAGAAGACGTGCCATCCGCATTTTTTGATATCTGCTGAAGAAGTCTGAATTATAAAGAATTACTGATGTTCTAGAGATTGACGAAGAAAAATGAAGAAAGCCAAAGATCATCTCAAAAAATGGCAAAAACACAACAAACAAAAAACATTCATTGCTATCATATTCTCATTTCATCGTTGTGATCTTTAAAAATCAAAACAATAAGGAGAACGTAGTGATATCATTGTCTTACTCTAATCTCAGTACTAACACAATGATGAACTTTGAGCTTAATATTTAGGTAAATAAGTTCGAGAAGAAAATAATCGTAAATGACTTTATTTGGAGATAGGTGGGTGAAAGGAAGGCGGAAGCGACTGAAAGATTAGAAAGTTTCAAATCGATATAAATGATTGAACGTTAAAAATTTATATTTTTCTTCTAAATTGCTAAAACAATGACAAGGAAAAAGAAAAAGTTGACAGAACAGACAAGACTACCAAATATGGAAAAAACTTTATCGGAAGTTCATGACAAAGCGATGAAAAGCTTAAAAATGTTTTGTTTGGGCTGGCTGAATGAAATGAGAGAAGAGCCAAACGAAAAGTTACGTGAACTTGTAAAACCTTCTATTTGTCATGAAAAACCTTAAGTAAGATTAAAAAAAATCGATATGAGTAGTTAGTGATGAGAAAAAATGTGTTTGAAAGAAAAAAAATTGAAAGAAAACTAGTTCAGCCATATGGTTATCAGACAGATAATTTCAATGAAATATTTGATATCCATATGAGATGAATCAAAATGTCTCTCTTCAGAAATTTAACTGTTATTGATTAGACGATCAGACAAGCTTTTCTTCTCTCTCTCTCTCTCACTATCTATCTCACTCTCTCATTCCCTTTCTCTCTGAAACTGTTGATGCTCGTTCAGCCTCTAATAATCAATAGCTTCTCATCTTTTGTTCTTTCTTTTTTGCGCTTTCTCCATGTAACTCAGAATTGGAGATAAGAAAAAAAGCAGAGAGCAGCAGAAGAGGAGATAAACGGTTATGGTTAACATATCCTAGATTATTTATAACATGTAAATATGAGAAGCATGATGTAGAAAGGTATAACGAAATCACAGATATACAGATATCCTGTTCTGAATCAGATACTTCATGAGACATTAGAGTAACAACATGCAAGTCACACGGTTTATTATTAGTTTTTTTTAATGAATAGAGGTTAAAGTTGAATGCAGAGATTGTGTTGTCTTATAACAAACAATCGATAGTTCAGAAGGTTTCTGCTTCACGTTCTTCGATGATCAAATGAAGCATTTGACAGCCCTCAAGTGCTTATCAACAAGAAATTTCGGTTCAATTCAAGGATAATATCTTGTCAATCTGCCGTTTACAGGAATATCATCATCTCTTCCCCCTATTAAGTTCTTTAATTAGATTTTCGATGCTAAAATATAAATTTCTTATCGATTGTTATGCTTGATATTGATTAGTGTTGTATGTTAGGTAGGTAACTCGTTCTCACTTGAGTCCCCCCATATGTTTGTTTCCCGAATACCTTGTATCGATTACTGGGCATATTCGATTATGAACATCAGTTACGAAACATTCGTATCCTTCGAAATAGACAAATCCTTTTAGCTTCTTCATGTATAAACTCGAAAGTACCATTCTCTCTCTCTCTCTCTCTCTCATTTATAACTTTCTGTTTTCATGCAAACATCACATGATACAATAGGAATAACACGGTTTCATTTTATTTTTTTTTTCGATATTAATAAATAATTTTTCTTTCAAATCATGTTTCCTGGATACACACAAGTCATAATTCCAAAAAACAAATTAATTCAACGAAGCTTATCGATTTTTGTGTCTCGAAACTTTGTACTTTTGTTTTTTTTTCCACATCAAATAGGAACAACCGTTCACTGCGTCTTTCTGTTCTTGAATGAGAAGATGAGAGTTACGTGAAAAGTCCGTGAAAAGTCGGTGAAAATGTTTGACAACTCATATTCAAACACTGAAGTTCATATAATTGAAATGATGCGAAACTGTCGTAAGAAACTAGTAATGAACTAGAAGCCTACACTAAATTGAACAATCGATATCTGAGCTTGCCCGTCGAATGATTTGTCAGACACTACTTCAGTTTTTTCTTTATGCCATATTTGATCATTTATTTCATTAGGGTTTTTTGTATATATTGCAGAGAGCTATGGCCCAAACCTAACGTTCTTGTATCGTGTTAACCGTAGAAGACATGTTGATTTAACTCTTCAGACTCCATATATGCTCAGATAGTACGCGGAGAGAGCAAGTAGGACATCAATAGAAGTTGCAAGCATCTTTTCCTGTTCTATCATAGCATCTTCAAATTTCGCAGGTAATCAGAATTTCTCCATACTCGATTTCTGCTGAATCACACCCCTCTCTTAAGCTTATCGTAATCAATAAAAGCGCTTATTAGCGATCAGGCTGGGAAAAAAAAGTTCAGAGAATGCTGTCAAATACGTAAGCTCGTGAGGTAAACTAACCGTATATGTTTAAACTCAATTTTCCTTATTTCTCAGACTCGAAATGGCAACCTGGACGTGTTCATACTGTACATTAGTTAATCCTTTGGCTGACCGCCTGTGTGGAGCATGTGGTTCTGAAAACCCAAGTTCTATTAAACCTCGCAAGTCTTTTTTGCCCAAAATAATTGCAAAGCCAAGTTTGTGATGAAGCATAAATTGAATTAATTTATCTTTTTCAGTTTCTAGTGTGAAAACTACCCTTGTCGATATATTCACCGACGATCGTAATTATCCTCCACGACCTCCACAGAGTAGAATTTGTTTGACTTCATAGCTTTACTTTTTTTACAGATATAATAATTGCCTCTGCTTCTTCTTCTTCACAAATTCAGAATGTTTATACGAGTACACCATCAACACATAAGCCTGCCATGATACCGAGTAGGATCACGTATTCTGTATTATCTAATGCTCATGATGTTTTAAGGAACGGCCAGTGCTCCTGTATTTGACAATAACCTCCAATGGTTATGCGAGAACTGCCATTCTTACAATTCTAATGTTAATCGAAATTGTCGAGCTTGTAAAACGCACAGAACTTGTTCGGAGTCCTGCGTAGATGATTCTGATTTTGATTGTTACAGATCGCGAAAACTCTGAGGGTGATCTTTCTTGTTTGAAAAGCGCTTCTCAGATCACTTCTAATTGTTCTGAAATTACGAATATCGTAGATTTAGATGATCGAGCTAGAGCTGCAGAAACTTATAATAGAATCGTTGAGCACTGCAGGTAAGACCTCATTAATTCAATTTGAAAAGAATAGTAATAGGTCGTCAAACACTATCTTTATCGACGATGCTTTTCCTCATTCAAATAAGAGCCTGGGGGATCTTCCTAATGGAGCACAGGCTGGAACTGTGGGTATGCTCTATTCGGGTTAATTATCATATTATCTTCACTTCAGGATCTATACCTACCGATTTCGTTTGGTTGAAACCAGAATATATTTATACGAAAGACGGTAAAACTTGGAACTGGAGTATCTTCAGAGATCCTCGTTCTTCTGACATTGAGCAAGGTGATTGAACGTTTCTGAAGCAAGAAACAATATAATGTTTCAGGTTCGTTAGGCGACTGTTGGCTTTTATCAGCAATGGCTTTAATAGCTGAGCGTCCTGATATTCTGGATAGCGTTGTACTCACAAAAGTGTATAACCCTTATGGAGTTTATCAAATAAGGTTTGAATTTTCTCTTTTATTACTGAACGCTCTTGTTGAAGAATATGTGTTGATGGTACTTGGTGTGTTGTTACTGTTGATGCTTTTTTTCCATGTCGAGCCAATCGAAATACTCTCGCCTTTGCGGTGGGGAGAAAGAATCAAGTATGTTGACTGTTGTTTCTTAGTTCATAACCAAATGGTTTCAGTTATGGGTGCCTCTTATTGAGAAAGCCATAGCTAAGAGGCTAGGATGTTATGCTAACATAGTTGGAGGACGCACGATAGAAGGCCTTTCCATGCTCACAGGTTTTTTAATATAATAAGAGAAAAAAATGATATATACTCGTCTTACCATAGGATTACCATGCCAAACTTTGTCTCTTGAAGTCAAAGAACCTGGTGATGATGAATATTTATGGGCTCAGCTATTAAGTGCGAATGAAGCAGGTTTCATTCTCGGCTGCAGTTGCGGCTCACATGCAGGAGAAGTTGACACTGAGATGTATCGTGCCAAGGGGTTAACGCCTCGGCATGCCTACTCCATATTAGATCTTTGCGTTGAGAAGCAATTCAAGTACGTTGAATAGAGTTAGACTCGTTATAAGTTTGGATTTTCAGATTAATCCGTTTGAGAAATCCTTGGGGTTCTTTTGTATGGAATGGCGCTTTTTCTGATAACTGGCCATGCTGGGATAAAGGTTTGTCTTCATGAAACTTTCCTTTACAAACACTCTCTTTGAAGATAGCAAAGAAAGACTACTGAAAGAGAAAATAGCGGGCTCTTTTTGGATGACTTTCAAAGACTTCATGCAACATTTCGACAGAGGTTTGAAGAGTAGTGCTCACATCAACTAATTCTGTTTTATCACTTCAGTCGACTTAGCCAAGATCCGTTATGAGCGACCATGGACTGACACGAGAATCCCAATACAACTTGGTGGAGCGTATGATCCGTCTGATAAGTAGGTGAAACAATAGAAGGCCTTTTTTGTATCAGTTTGTCTAGATGTATACGATTCATTATTGAACAGCCGACGGAAATGTGTTTCAGTTTGTATCATACAGATAGCCGTCAAACGGAAGATCGAGTTTGTGGTTCATATCTGTTTTCATTGCTTATCTCTATCTGTTTAGATAGATCTATTAATTTGTGTTCATGAAAGAACAAGAGAAGGGAAGATAGGAAAGCTAATATTCAGATCACCAAGAACATTGGAGTCATTTGTCTGCACAGGTAGTACCGTTCATCACTTCCAAATCTAACCTTTCGGTTCCTCTGGTATGCAGAAGACACTTTCTTTAGTCCTGGAGAATATGTGATTGTTTGTCATAGTATGTCACAACTTGGTTATGCCAAGCAGGCCGGCTGCTTAGCTATACATAGGTATTCCATAATGGGTTGGTAATAAAACTTGTAGACATTTTAAGTTCCGTGAGCGTTTTTGGAGAACTCATATCCTGCTCATCGCTGATGTACAGAGACTCTCTTATTCAACTCATGATCAAAGATGGCAACCAAACTTTCGTAAAATATAATTGAAGTATAGAATTAATAGTTGAGATTTAGCTTCACCAAAATATATTGGTCCGTTCCATTACAAAGACCATAGGTGGTTTGATACTCATGGTTGACAATAATTCCCCGGATTCCTATATTCATATGACGTAAGTTGATGTAACACACCTCTATTCTCTCTCCTTTTCCCATATCTGTTCTTGACAGCTTCTATAATAGAAATTCTTTGAAGCTCACATACAAATAATCAGGAAACTAAATTTGCAGAACCGACTGCTCCTCCAGTAATAATGTTGTTTCTTCAAGAGGTACTGTCTTAATGGCAGATTCTGTTCCACCCAAATCGCGACAGGTTGAAAAACGTATGTACTTTAATAATTGAGACTGTTGATTTCAGATTATCGTTGTGTTGACACAACTTGAACATACATCTTCTTATCTGGTCGGGCATCGCATTCCTCCGGTAAGTAAGGAAAACGGAATCCTGTTTAAAACAAGCCATTTACAGGTTCGCTTTTCGAAATTTCCAGCACTAGGAGAACTTGCTCTTGATGAAAATACCATAGAAGCCATGCATTCCCCTCTTATGGAGAATGAAACATCTGAAAGTCTGCACACACCTGCATTTATACAAAATTAATCTCATGATAGAGTTAAGCAGTTTACTGTGATACATCTGTGATATCGTGTTTATACGACTTGCGATACATTCCTGATTTAACTACAGATATGATATCTATAAACCTTTTATAAGAAGAAGTTTTCTTTTCTGCCTTGAAAAAAACCCCTGAACACTATTGGACGAAGAATCATCTTATTTACGGTGTGTTCGCATCCTGTTAACTAAGCCTATTATGGGTCGTAACTCCTTTGAAAGAGATCGAGTTACAATCTCAAAAGGAATATCCGCATAGTTTACTTAATCTGGTACTAATCCGATAAACTGTTAGATAATAAGAGTAAAGAAATTGAGAACTTTATTTGTTCGGCCGTAATTGCTTGATAGTCCCGGTTAAGAGCCAATACTATGAAGTCATACCTAGAAAAGGTCTTTGAGCGGCTTTTTTGTTCTCCTCTTTTATATTCGTTTTACAACGTGGTGGCTGAATATTTCTGAGCACCCGGAATAAGTAGCAGCATGTCAAACACACAACTAAATTTGAGTTTGAAGACTAAAACAGATTGTTATATATCTAACTGATTGGTATTTTGCGACAGATGAGATAAGTGCTGACCTCAAGACAATATGATTTTTACTAAACGATCTTACTGCGGCTTAAGTGGTTAATTGTTGCTTATGCTAACCAGCTTTTTCTAGTTACTTAAGATTGGTTTCATGTTTCAGCAGCATCTGTGTGATCTGTGACACACAAAGCCATTTCAGCACCAGCCGTTAAGAGACATTAGCAGTTTTCTTCGTTTTTTATTCGCCTCATTTAACAGTTGATATGTGATGTTAGAAAGTGAAAAAGATAATTATAATGAAGAAGAGACATCTAGACGGTATAGGTGATGATCAGCCACGAAATTAGCGCCTTGAAGACAATTCGACCGTTTCAATATTTGTATTTGAGTACATGTGCTGTTCATACTACACCTTGACCGGACCTATGATTTACTATCCATTCTGATTGTATAGACCCTTAAATGGACATGTAAAATAGCAAGTATGGTCATTATTGGCCAAATGAACTGTCTTTGTGTGTATAGTGATGTTACCAAACGGACATATCATCATATTGCAAATTAAAATAATATTTCTCAGCTAATTCAAATCGACAAGACTCGCTCATCTGTATAAAGGCAAATGGATCACATTTGTTATTGGTTTATGAGTTTCATAATGTTTTAACTGAATATTTTTTGGTGTTAAGCGTTCATTTTGGCATGTTTACGTTTCAAAATGCTTCATTTGCATGTATGACGTACTTCACGTTTTTCACGTCGAATGGAAAGATAGTGGCGAGTAAAATCATTTACTCAGTTGCAAATGAATGGATCGGTTGTATTCTATTGAAGCTCAGAGCGGTTGCATTATAATAAATATATTTTAATATACATATATAACATTCTACGAACAGGACATTCATCATGTTTTAATTTCGAATTCTGTTGAGATGGCGAGCTTAATAACTTATTAACAATTGCTCTCGAAAATTGATTTCGTTCTAATTGAATATTTTGAATCTTTTTCTCTAATCCCTCTCGGTTTCTTTTTTGCATTCTCTCCTTTTTTTCAATATGCCTTTTCTCTTTGTCTTTCTTCAGTTCTTTTCCGTAACTCTCTTGTTCGCTGTCTCTCTCATCGCCCCAATTGCCTTTTGTGGATTTAATTTCATCCACTTTTGATTGACAGTTGACATTGCTTCTGAATGACACAAACACAACTAGCCACATAACTAAAGAAATCACCCTCACCATCCTCAGAAATATAAAGTAATGACTGGAGAGTAGCAAGGTATTATAAGTAACCGAACATGCATTGAAAATCCATTAATTTCAAATTTTTCTTCCCCCATCCCATTTTTTTTTCTCATCTCTAAAACAACTTTCATATTAAAAATTTATTGATTAGACAAATTATGTCAATCTTATAGGGGGGGATCTGCAACAGAAATTGGACAATCAAGTTCTATGAATATAAGCAAATACAAAAATACGAACAGAATATGAATTTCGTGAGGATTTGCTGCTGCTCAGAGCAGAAAGGAACGAACAATCGAAGTTTTTTTTGCTTCTTATTTTTTTTACCCAACACGAGAACAGTTATAAGAATATAAGTTAAATCTAAAAAGACATATGGTACAAATGCAGGCAAAACCCTGTTAAACGATGGTCATAGAGAGGGAGAGAGAGAGAGAGAGAGAGAGAGAGACGAGAGACGAGACGAAGAGAGAGAGAGAGAGAGAGAAAGAGAGAGAGAATTGGGATTTGTCAAAAACAAATGAGGACTAAATTTAAAGTTTTAATGTCACCTATATGGCTAAATTATTTTGAACAACAACTTTCGTGTTTTAACGGTCATTCGTAACTTATATGTTACATATCTATGATATTATTAAAATTAGAATATACTAAACATAGACAAAAAATTACAAATGAAATAGCTTAGGATATACATATATATGCTTGGAAGATAAATTATTCCATGCCATGAGTTCCTAATACTGTATTGTCCATCCAATTTGCCGGAGTCATTATCTGACTAGTAGGATTAAAGCTCATCATTGGAGTCATAAATGGAGTCATAACCCTGTAATCATATCTTAATTTCAATATGTTTCACGTACGAAGACAACTTACGGAGCAGGGAAGGGCGAATATGAGGTTTGGAACATATTGCGTTGCATATAAGCTATATCAGGAGGATAAGTAGACATAGGCATTGTTGGCTGAACAGCAGCATCCGGTGAATATGACTGAGACATGTCGGTGACATCTGCAAATAATTATAATTAATTTTTTAATATTATATTATATGTATCTACCTGGACTTGGTCCTGGACTGTTATCGGAACGATTCCGCCTCCTATTTTTGAAAACATTAACTTGCTGTCCTCGTCCAGCTCTATTACTTTGGTCTATCATAGGCTGTACTATTCTCCGCCGAGCATTAATGAACCTGAAAACAATATATATGAAAAATATAATAATAAGATGAGTTTTTGCTGTTCTCAAAGCATATCATTCATTTGCTCCTCTCCCCCCCCCTCCTCTATACTTCTTGCCTCTAAGGGACAATCCATTTTTTCCTTATCTGTTTTTCCCCCGTTTCTCCCAAATGATTCCTCATTTGTCTGCTTAAAATCTGGGCTCTCCAATTTTTCTACTATGTCGTTTAATTGGATAGAATAACGTCAGATATCATTTCATGCCATCTATACTTCATCCCATCACTTTCATTTCGCATCAGATGATACCATCTTTTCCCATTCTGGCAACTACTTCATAAAAAACACATAAATTTACATTTATATCCGAGACGCCACGCAAACTGTCATAAAAAGTTGCGAACTCTGTTACGCCAACAATTTATGTGCTAATAAATGATGACATTTAGCTTCGGACAAACTATTCAGATTATCTCTTAAACTTTTTTTTTCGATTCATTTTCACCTCCTTGTTAATCAAACAAGAAGATGTTTGAATTATAATATCACATTCACTCCTACTTCATTCTAATATGTCAAACAGAACGAAATCATCAGCCAGAGTCAACGTATACATCATTCACATATTTCATATTCTCATCACCATTACTTTGATCAAATCTGACAAAAGATTCATCTCACCTAACACGTTTTCCATCAAAATTCAATCAACAGAAACGCAAGCAAACGCTCCAAAAACTTTCTCTTTTCGACACTCCTGTTAGCTAACCCCTTCTCCCATCTATCATTTCCCCCCTCACACTCTCGGACCCAGCATAACATACACACGAAAGACAATATTGATTCTGATGACGAGAATGTCTAGTAGACAATCGAGGCTGTCACTAACTGCTGACGGGCGGCGGCATAAAATATACCCAAAAAATCATGTAGTATTTATTAAATACTTCACAGCTATACTGAGCTTCCGTCCCTATCTCTATTTTGTCTCCAAACTAACACTGCCTTACTTTTCTTCGATTCAGACGTCAAAATGCTACTTTCTCCCTCTCTCCTTCTTTTCCCCAACTACCGTATACGATTAGGTCCCCGTGGATTGGGCTGAGGGTATCATTTCGGGCTGGGCATTGCCTTGCCTTCTTCTCAGTGTTGTCAGCGTCGCCAGCTGCGCCCATCCATCATTCCAAGGCTGCTGCTTACTCTCCGTCTCTCTCACCCACCATACACTTCCTCTACACTAGCCCACCGGTTACGGTAATTGGCAAGGGAACGGCGCGCATCCAGCAGCCGCTAGCAAGCCCCAACCAGCCAGTTAGCTAGCTAGCTAGCTTAAAAAGTCAAGTCATTTAAGTCGGCAATAGTCGGTCCTCCTCAAATGGAGACATACGCGAGAATTTAAGTCATCCATGCACAGTTTTGATTGTTAATGCTTAGCTGAATCGATGCAGAAAGAACAGAGAGACTGAATTCATATGGAAATAATTTCCGAGAATCGACTGATGTGGAGCAATTGAGTTACAACTTCAGACCAGTGTTTTGCTCATATTAAAGACCTATAGGCTGTCGATTAAGACAACTTATTTCAACGATCATGTGCGACATGGCGATCGTCAAAAAAGCATTCATTGTCAGCGCCTTTTCCGATTTCAATCTATTCGCTGATACGGTAGATTAGAAGGTTGGAGGCGGGAAAGTATTTTAAGAAAGAAAGCCTTATTAAGATTTGAACTTTTGAAAATTAGCTCTACCATTTCAAATACTGATGTTATGCGCAGATACTAAAATGAAAGAGAGGTGAAGATGTAATGGAAATGAATTTCCCCTATCATGCTTCAAAGAAAACAAATATGCATATTGTAACGGCTAGTCTTCAAACATCATTGAACATTCATGACCTTCACAACCATTAGCTGTTGAAATATAGTCACAAACTAATTGAATAAATTATGAGTTTCTTTACACGTATTCAAGTTGATTAAGCAAACTCAACAAAACGTTTGAGCGCAAAGAGCTTTTTCCTGTCTGAATCATTACTGACAGTTCACCGTAAGCTATTCTCTTCGTCCCTCATTTAACATTAATCCGAATTTGCAATCCGTGACCAAATAAGCAGAGGAAAAAGACAAGGAGAAAAAGATGAGTCAATTGAGGACACCTAATATGGTCTGTAAATGAGGATACATTCATCCAGCAGTACACAACACTACACACACAAAGGTAGTTCCATACCCCGATAATGACTATACTTGCTATTTTGCATGACCATTTAAGGGTCTATACAATCAGAATGGATAGTAAATCATAGGTCTGGTAAGAATATGGAATGAACTGCGAATGTGCTCAAAGACAAATATTTAGATGGCTATAGAGAAGGAAGATTTTGATCCAAAAAAGCCACCTCATCTATGTATGTGACAGCAGATGAGAAACCCATACCCGGATTTCAAATAGAAATAAGAGAACAGAAAGAAAAACGTACCAGTTATTAACTTGAAGAATTGTGAGACCCGTTTCACTTGCTAACTGTTTTTTTTGCTCTTCAGAAGGATAAGGATGCTGAAAATAAAACAGATTAGTTTGGACACTGAAATATAATTAATTATAATCTACATCCCCCGATCCTTGTCTATCAATCAATTATATAATTTTCGCTTCATCACTGATATATCAATTCGCAACATTTCGTCTCAAGACCGTTTCTCTTTTTCTCTTCTTATCAGTCTTATAAGTGGAGATGATGATGGTTCACATCGGATAATCGATCGCAGCGAAAACATCATCAGAAGATAAACGGTCGTCAAGATATCAATCGTCGCTTGTATCCCGTAACTGATTGCCAATCACATCTGACGATTATCATTACATGCGTTAATCAAACAAAAAGAAAAATGAATGACTTTGATGAATGAATTGAGTTGCAATGAAGATGGCGGTCATGATGACACATTTGCTCTCAGCTTTCCAATGTAAAAAATATATATATATCAAATTCATCACTCGCTGTGGTCCAAGCACGTCGGTGTTGATGAAATACACTGTTCCACCTAATTAATTTTCGCCTTCCAATTCAATGGCTAACGAACATCTGATAGAGAGATGCTTGTGGCAAGTTCATTAAAATAACATTTCACATCACATTGTCATCATGATAGACCATCAAAAGTGATTTCTAAGTGTCTCAGAAGACCTTTGTTCAAGCGAACAGCCAAAATTCATTTCGTCATCAGGCCAATCCTTTCCTCTTCTCTCTGACCAATTTTTATCATTTTTTTGGAAATCACGTTGATGACAGAGCAGAAAAAAAAAACGTAAAACTATAAGTATTTTTCTTTGAAATGGCCGATTACGACCATGTCACAAAGCCAAAATAGGTGGAGCACTTATTTTCATAATAGCTTTTCTCTTTTCAGAACTTATTTTCAGTTATTACCGTAGGCATTATATGCATCTGAACCTAACCCTAACAAGTCAGCCCCTTCTTTTCAAAGTTGGCGAAACGATTTCGTCTCAACAAACTGTTTTCATAACCAGGAATAAGAGATGGAGAGAATGAGAGAAAAAGATAAAGAGAGGGAACCAAAACACTCTCGAAAAATGAAGTTTAACCCAGAGACAGCTTCTTGCGCAGAGGACGAGACAACCGGTGACCTCATGTTGTAATATTATGTTACACAAACCAAGTTCCGTCGTAGCAACGCATCTTACAGTAAACCTACCTAGTTGAAAGAACAACTAGGCAGGTAGAGAAGCATAGACAATTAATGTAGAAATCATACAAAACTACAGTATGATAAAAAGAAAAGCTAATAAGAAGAATAAGCTGAATTGATAACGCAAAAGCAAAAGATAGTTTACGAGCATGGAAACGCTGCAGGAAGAACTGCTCAGAACCCCATGACTTGTAGCAGGAAGAAAGAGCTCATGGAAATAGCTTACTTCCATCAGCAGCCAGAACATATAATTCGCAGGCATAAAAGCTATTGGTGATTTACTATGCTTACTTATATGGAATCCTTGTAGATTTTTGAGAAAAATAAGCCAATCATGCTTACAGTAGCAAAAGAAAATGGTAACTCACTGTTAAATTTTGGAACAACCAGGCCCGAAATTTCGTAATTGCTTCTTTTGAAAAAACTTTCGGAACTTTTCGCTTCTGGCCATTTACAGATCCGTTTTGACCGTCACTTAGTACGGATTCTCTTCCGTCCTCATTGGAACCGCATAGAGAAAGTAATTCATCGCCTGAAACTCACCCTGTGTCAGGAACATATTCAAATTTATGTTTTTAGGCTCTTATAACTTTTTCAATATTAGAAAAAGATTACATCCCTTCCGATCCCATGTGCCGATCAATGGTTGCCGAAGCTCATAATTTGAGAGTATTATAATATGAAGAAATGAGAGTCAGTGCAGAGAGAGAAAAAAGCGAAGAAAGTGAGTGAGATAAGAGACACATCGAAAGGATGTTTAGACATGAAGTTGCAAATAGTAAGATAGCATGAATGAAGAATAAGAAATAATTTCTGAGTTCTGTCAGTACTTTTCGGACTTTTGAACTTAGAGAAAGTGCTTAAGCTTTAAGCTCTCAGAGTGAGTATGTGTGCCTCCATTTGTGCAAAAACATAAAATACACCACAAATTATGGTAATTAACTCAAGAATCGGAGAGTTTAAACACAGAAAACATAAAATCAAGCCAAAACCACATATTGCCTATGCACATACGTTAAGCCGATCATATTAGCGCCAATGACATATATAACACTCATTCGCTCTGGTGAGTGAGATGTCAGAACACAAAAAGTAAACAAAAACAGAAAAAAAAGCAAAACAAACCGTTAAATTTTTGAACAACCAGGTACGGAGCACATTAGTGCAATCCTTGGAAAACATAGGACGTGGACGGTCACGACGAGTTGGAGTCCGTGCAGTCCGCTTGACAACCGTTCTGTGCGCTGCACGAATCGGTCCTTGTGGAGGATCGACTGGATGAGCTACAGGATAACCATAATTCATATCAGACGGTGGAGGCATGGTATAGCCAGAATCGTAAGATGATGCCATTCCATAAGCTATGGGACAATCCATTACTATTCCTGCAGAAAGAAGACACTCGTCTAATACACCGCAAGATTGGTGCTGTGCTTGTGGCGGCGGAATAGAGAAAAGGCCTGAAAGCGCAACCAAAATGCTCATTAGGAAAGCTAGCCAAGCGGAAAATTTTTGTCACAAAGTAGCAAAGACATTAACACCCAAAACCTAATCATAACACACGCGCAATACTTCAACAAGAAGTGTCATCCAGGCGGATCGACTAAATTAGTCGATCGTTCTCTCATGTTGACGACGAGGACAGGATACAAGGGAAAGACGAAATCACATAACATGCAAAGACAGTTGGAACGTGGATGGACGTTAGACGATTATTTCACGCACACAATAAACAACACAAGGATATAAGAACGTTATGTGTGATGATAAGTGGAAAGGAAAAATAAATAGATGAAATATGAAAAAAAGAGAAGATAACATTATGAAAAAATTAGTATGGAAATGTAAGACTGAGAAGGTTAATGATTAAATCATGTCATTGAGTGTAAGAGAGGGAAAGAGTTAAGAAGCATGAAAGCCCAAGGTAAAGTTGCTCCGGCAAGCATGGATCACAGGCGGGACTGAAAGGTTGTAAAAGCTTTTTTTTGAGACTTTGCAAAAGTATGTTGCTCGTTTTTGAATGAATTATTAATATTCTAACCGGCTTCTGATACAGAATCCATGCTGGGTGGATTACCATTTCCTTGTGGGCATGGGGTGTCCCCACTCAAAGGTGTTGAATCGTGCCTGATTCCACCAGCTGATGAACTAAAACAATTTCATTTTCATTTTCCCCTCATTTGTTTTACGAATGTAACAAATTTTCTTTGTTTTGTTCAAACGCAAACTTCGCGCTCACCTAGCAGATGGACTCGAGACGGCTGCTAAAGGGAGGCTATGGGGCGCCCCAGCCGTCGTGGGATGCCCGCCCATGGCTAAAGGGTGATCTTGTTGATGTTGCTGCTGATTTTGTCCTTGATTAGCCTGTTGCTGTGATTGTTGTTGTGAGGAATGTGGAGTTTGATATCCCATTGAAGAGCCCTGAAAGTTTGTTATAATGAAAAGATCATAAGAGTGTTTGTAGTTTGATTTGTTTTTTCTTTTGATTACTTCATAAAGCAGCTAATCACTTCCCTTCATACAACCCTCATGAAAATTCTCCCAAAAAAGTCATTTTATTGATTAAAGAGCGCCAAACCGATTAACGTTTAGGATGCTTTAGGAATCCACCGACTTTCTGTTTAGGCGCAAAATGCCCAGAAATCATGGTCAATGTCAAAAGGAATTAGTGTCGGGCGCTGAGTAGACAAGAGCTGCGGAATGCCTCTAGAGAGATAGAAGCCGCCATTGGTTTTCTTGACAGCGGCCCAACTCCACTTGACCATATACGGCACTTCGGCTTTTTTTTCAAAGAATATGCTAAGGGATAAAGCGAATTAAAAATTAACATATTCTTCTTCTATGAGCATGTGACAGCCATTCTAGTCAAACGGATAACGTATATCTTTCTTTGATATTTGAGAACGCTCCTATCCCATCTCATATAATCATTTTGGCTATTTTATCTGATACGTACATCAGAAGTGTCATGGCATGCACATACATCGATAAAAACTTTTCTCCCTGATATATTATCTATACTCTAGGTCGGCCTCAAGTCCTCAATTTCTCTAGCTTAATGGCTTCGTCAAAAATTACACACACTAGTTGGGATAAAACAAGCGATGGGCCAGCGACAACAGTTGGTTTCAGCAAAACTAAGTGAGATGCTTGTGTTGAAGAAAACGTTCTATTCAGTTAGATAGTGAGCTTGTTAATGACAAAAGAATGAAACCAGCGAATTGGCAAGAAACATTCAGAGTTAGACTTATGGCGCCTGTTAAATTGATTGACGCCATCACGTCTAAGATGAATTTGAGCGAAACAATGAATGATTGCGGAATCATTACATAGTTAGCAGAAGAGATAGAATGAAAATGAAGATTGATTATCATATAAAATTATAATAAACTAATCATATCCATGATCATTCAGCTTTTCATTTTTCAAACATTCTAAGATGTATCAGTATGAGCCAGACAAGGAGCCATCAGGCACATAAATCAGGCCAAGCGAGACGTAGGGCCATCCATCAGGCGCATACCACCAAACAGATGTTTTAATTTCAAAACGTTAGCTATATTCAAAAGAATAGCCATTCATCAGATACTGTACTAAAGGTTTTAGGTCGCACAAAATGCCAAAAAGCCAAAGAGAGAGATTTCAGCGTACTTTGATGCAATTCTCAAAAACACATACCTCCATTGAATGTCCCATTCCGGCTGAAGTGTTTTCGGGTAATGGTACAGTCTGTGGCTCGAACTGTGGAGGGAATGTATGACTGAAAGCAATTAATTATGTTACATCAAAATAGCTCGTATAGCTATACCTCATTGGAGTTCCCATGTTTGGACTGGCAGATTGAGCAGTTGATCCCGGTGACAGCGGTGGCTGTGATGAGGAAGCTCGTTCATCTCCCACAATATCCATTGGCATTTTACCTTTCAGGCAAGTGACATATCGATTACAGAAATTATCACACAGCTCATGAACCTGGAAAAATGAAACAAATAAAGAAATGTTTTTCAATTCGCCTGTTCAGATATTATTGAATTTGCATGAGCACTCAATGAGAATGAGTTGAAAGTTAATTTCATCATTTCACTAAATGAATGATCGTGCTCATGATGAGAATAGAAAAAAAAAAAGATTTGCAGCATAAAGCTTGTAATTGCTCAGATGGCCTTCTCATAGCCATGTGTCATGATGTCAAGTAATAGCTGGTAGAAGCCAGATAAAATGATGTGCTATATGAGATGAGATTAAATAACATTATAATAGACTGATATTTGAGATTAGTCCCTTCTATTGTATTCTGTATACAAAAAGAGAATAGAGACTATATGGCCCTAATTTTAAAGATCAAGAAGACAAAAAAAAAGAAATCGCATAAGATACATCTCTTTCCTATTTGGGTGACAAAGTAGTCGGCATCAGGCACGTATCAAAAGTACAAATGAGAACTAACGCGGTAAAGTATCTCGTTTACATGTTCAAAGACAGATATCCCACAGAGTTTGTCGGACGGTCGAAAAACGAACAAGAAATTGTAACTAGTGATCATTAAATGAAATGGATTTAGCATGAAAAGGAGGAAAAGCGCAAGTCAATGCAGAAGAACGGCGTTCAACATGGTACTATTGAAATCAATGGTAAGATGAAATAGAGGAAATAGGGAAAATGAACATGTATAGAATAGAAGAACTGAGTGTATAAAATATAACAAGCGTTCCGAACGCCTAAAATGTTCTTTGAAAAAAGAGATAACACCTGATAAGGTGTTGCCAAGCTGACACAAGATAAAAGAATATGTGGTTTTTGAAATGATAGCAAGATGCCTAACGTACCTTCTCAAGCTCCAGTAAATGAAAACGTAACATTTGAATAGATTGAAGCATTAAATTATCGAGTTCTTGGTTCGGTACATAAGCTTCAGAAATCTGCATCTGTAAAGAATCAGTATATTGCTACTCAAGCTTTGATGGAACATACATCAGCAACAAATACGTTTAAATCGTCTTTGAAAGAACTAGATGAGCAGACGTCAGTAGGTGAACCATCACGATTTTGATCACGTGGAGTGCTTGTAGCGAGTTCACATTTTTCAAATAAACACGATAACAGTGGATATAATGGGTGACTATAATGAATTTATAATTATGTTTATAATTAATATTTTTAAAAAACTCACTTATATATAGCTTCCTTGTCACGCTTAACCTGTTCATGTTGAATAGTTGGCATCAACTGATGTGTTGCTCCCATGGTACTTCCAACATTGTACATGTTATAGAATTGACCCATTCCTTGTGGTGCTGAAGGATCCGGATATCCTTCGGCTCCTGGTGGAGGTCCATAACCATCTCCGTACTGAAAATATTGGTAACAGTTTAAAGCTTAATGCCATATTGCCCCGGGGGGGGGGGGGGTTAGATTGTGGGATAGGGGGGTCGGCAAACAGCTTAAGATCGAACCTACTCAAAGTATCATTGATTGAGTCGTAAACTGACAATAAAATAATTTACAACTTCCACAGAGTTTCTTTTAGTTTTGCCTTTAACTATTAAATCATAAAGGGATACAATCATCATTTATTCCTTTTTAACTCCTAAGCATTCTAAAGCGCTCTCTCTTAATGCTATTCAGCTTAACAGAGTATCAAAATTGTGAAGTTTTTTTGTTCTTTCTGTTTTTTTCAAGCCAATAAAACATTATAAACAGCACTTAGAAGAAAACCAGGAGGCCAATCAATATTACAATCGCCACTGACAATCTTCTCGTGCAAGAATGAAAATTGTCATTCAATGTATATTGGTATGAGGGCAGAAGTTATAAAAGGTAAAGAGAGGTTTGTTTAGATGGATGTGGCAGTAAAAATATGATTTTTTCTTTTTACTTACATTCCATACATAAAGCAAAATACTTGTCAGTCATAAATATCATTTTGGAAATAAAAAAGAATGGAGATGTCGCTTAAGAAACAACAACAATAAGTTTGTGTGAACTTATTGCGTCGCAAAAAGCTGAAAGATGATGATTGCTGAGAGAATGACATAAAGACCTCATCAAAAGTTATGTGCAGGGGCTATTTCATCTGTCTCACGGTTTTGACACTGCTTTTGCTATTAAAGCACCTCAACTTGTTGCCAATGGAAATCAGTGAATGGTGAAAAGACACATAACAACAACCATTCTTCTCTATCGAATAATATCAAAAAATCGAACAAAACAGAAACAACAACTTGCAGTAAAGCGCAACTGTGAATCAAAATCATCATTGAAGTGGATGATGATGCGTAAGAATGGCAATAGTCTATCAAACGACGTCAACCAATGCTCACACTTGTATTCGAACCAAAAGCTGACCCTAACGTCATGATAGACAAGTTGTCAGTACATCAACACACATTGACAAATGATTAAGGAACATAGACAGATAGAATGAATTGCCAACCCTTTGCGCCATGACACGGATGGCGTACGAACGGCTACAAGATGGACGGCCACGAGGATTGAAGCAGACAGCTTGAGCAGGAATACTTCAGACAGATTTACTAGACGGCGCTTGCTCTTCTAAACAGTCAAAGCTGACAGAAAAGAAGGTATATAATAAGAGGGAAGTAGTTGAGACGGATATAAAAAAAAGAATGGGGGAAGAGTTTGAATGCAGATGAATAGAACGTGACAGCTAGACGATGTTTCCGTTTCGCTTCGCAACAGCAGCTCTCATTCAACGCAAGCCCCGCCCACCCGCTTGCAGCAACCAATAGTGACAGACGTTATAACACCCCGCCTACGGTACAATCATTGATTTGGCCTGAGGCAATGGCACAAGAAATATCTAAAGACTTGAAGCAAATATGGCGCTAGAAAGGAAAAGCATCGAAGTAGAAGCCAAAAGTCATGAGGAAAGCTAAAAGTTTTGCAATAGCTTTCTGGCTAATCATTATTATTGAATCGAATCAATAATCACTCAACGCTTATATAAAGTTTCTGACATACAGACAATCAAGAAGAGAAGTCAGGAAGACAAACGGGTTGTGCTGATCGGGAGTCGGTCATAAAATGTGATGGATTAGAGAATTATCCTCGCTTTGTGAATTATGACCAATATGAAAGGGGAGCAAGAATTAAGCAAAAAAACTGAATGTAAATATGGATGAAATGAAACAAAAATAATAACATTTGACATGCTAAGAGTCGCAAACGTAATGCATCAATGAGACTTATATTAATCAAAATTATTCGACAAGAATAAGGAAGTTAAACTCACATCAACCTTCTCCAACTTCACAATATCCGTTGATGGTGGTGGAGCAGTAGCTGACGGTACAGACGTCGCCACATTATGTGGATAAGGAAAGTTATTCCAACCTTCCAAAGTAGACCACATAGGTTCACTCATCTAAAATAATCAATATAAAAGTCGAAAAATATTGAAAATGAGATAGTAGCAAGAGAAGTAGTGAGAAAAAACACACACACACAATGAGCACGAACAAGAAACGAAATCAAAATTGAATAAAAAGAAAAAATTACATGAAGAAATATAAGAAAAAAAAAAAGGGGGGGGGGGTTGGTGGGCAAAGCTGCCCCTTAATCCACGCCCACTTGTGTACGCATGCGCGCATCGGTTACTTCACGTACAAGATTTGAATTCATACTGTTTAATAACTTAGAATTAGGAAAGTAACTCAAGAAACAATGCTAGAATAACGTTATCGGTACAGGCTATGGTGTTAGGATCTACACAGTTGATTTATTTCTGTGGGCGTGGCTTGTGACTAGCCGATTAGCCTACCAGCCCCAAAAATGTACAAAAGCTCTATTGGGTCAAGCAGAAACATGGAAAAGTAAAACATAAAAATAAAACCAAATTAAGTGCAATATTGGTTAGGAAATAGCTGATGAAAGCGGGTTTGGTTAGACAGACTCAGCCGTGAATGCCTCGCCGCTATAGGGTCCAATGCAAACAGCCCACCAAAGAATTACTGTAGCTAGCAACGGTAATGAAAAGAACGACATAGATATCAAGGCAACACCATACCCAGACTTCATCTTAATGAGTCGGTTTGAAAATTGAAGCAAAAACTTAAAAAATGAGAAGAAGATGACAAAAAGAAAAAATACGAGAGTACACAAAGACGGAGAGGATTTAAGAAAAGAAAAGAGAACCAAAACGAAACAAGAGGGAAAAATGTTAATGGAAGATGATTTTCATGCTTAGATCCACTATACATATTAAGGCTCAATATCTATGACGTTACACGCTATCACATACAACTTAACACCTACTTTTTGCCTCCACACATCGCTTTAATGTGTTCTCTAATCACGAAAAGATAGATGAATGACATGACTGTCATCTGTAGATACCTGTCAGTTGACCGCCGCGAGAAGATCGATTCCGCGCGAATCGCATTCATTTCAGATCATGTCTCTAATCATTACGAATATAGATTAGTCTATCAATCAGAAACAACTTTAACTAATCATGCCAATAAAAATGATGAAGTTCATCATCGAGAGAAATATGAGCAAGCGCCCATGGCATCAGCAATTGAAACGACAAGACAAGACAATAGGATAGACGACGCTCAAGCAATAGCTCGACAGCTTTTCTCATTCACTTCTCATCGTGTTGCCTCTCTTTTTCTCGACTGCTCTACACTCCTCAGCTGACAGCTCAGCAATCAAAATACAGAATAGAGAAGAGCCTTAATTTGCATGCTAATCTCAATCTCAACGAGAAAGACAGCACAAAAAGGCTGACTGGCTTAAAGACAAGCAAGACTTTTTTGCAAGCTAACAATAGGTCTAGTATAATGAAGAGCAATTGATGAGTGGTGGTATGGTATAACGTACAGCAAGGACAAGGAGGTGGAGTAAGAGAGTGTGCTGATGATTGCTAAAGAGGAAGAGGAAGAGGGAGGAGTATAGTAAGATGGAGAGAAAGGGGGTGGGGTAAAGAAACAAGGAAAAGTAGGCGTACTCTTCTGCGAGTACCGGAGTTGTCGCAACAACAGCATATTGCGCACTATACCATATTGTAGTGCAAAAGAAATTTACCTCATTTTTCAAAATAGTCAGTCTCTCAATTTTCGAAAGTTCCTATGTTTCAAATTGAAAAAAAGAAACTCATGCACTACCCTCCCTCCGTCTAATAGATTAAATCCTCCCATAGTCTTCGATAAAACTGAACCATTCTCCTCCAGTAAGGAAACATTCGTTTGCAACGACAACCGAATACATTGAAAAAAAACTTATCAGCCACATTTTTAGTTCCAGATATGAAGCTGACTCCACTACTTCATCTTGTAATCAATATGAAAAGCCTAAGAAATAGGTCCCTTTCCATATCTGGACTAAGACAATAGGTGAAATCGATCACATGACTTGTAATAGTCAAGGGAGAGAAATTCAAAATGATTAATGAGCTACATGAAGGTTGCCCGCAGGTGGCGCTATAGAAACAGGACGACGACAATATCTGACGAGCGCTGTATTCATACATATGGACGTGCGCATTAAGAAAGAATAGATTATAAGCAAGGAAAAAAAATACAAATGAAAATGAAAAAAAAAGCTTATAAGCTGTTGGGCCATAAGCTCTGACCATCGTTGCTTGACGTCTGTCGCGTACAGCCTCCACAAATATGGGAGGAGATATGCGACAGCAACGGCAGCGATTACTGTTGGCTGCTGTGCCTCAAAAATGGATTTAGCTATGAAGAAGATTGTCACATCTTGCTCATCATGTTACATTCTTAAGCTTGAACTTCTTCATAAAGATAGAAAATAAAAATATGATGAAGCGATTAAAGGAGCTGGCAAGTGCGTACTACGGAGTGTCATTTCAAAGCGGCCTCTTATGAAAACAGTTAAAAGATTAACGGAATTATTGAGCGGAAGTCAAATATCTTTGGCCTATTAAATGGTTGATGGTAAACATTTTGATAACAGAAACGGATCCAGGTGGATTATCCTATTAGTGGGGAGATGACGCGCATTCTTTTGATTCGCCGCCCAGATAATTAGTGGAAGAATCAAAGACAATAATTGATGAGAAACAAGTGAGGAGAAGGGAAAGCGAGACGACAGATAATAAGCGGATAGAGTAACTAGCTACATTTAAAATAATTTACTTAAAGTTGCACTGCAACTAATTGAAGTCATTAGGAAAATTTGCTAAACTGTTACAGTACGCTAAGGACAGATGCGCAAAAGCAAAGGCTCTATAGCTCTTAACCTATCACACCATTGGTCAATGGACCGACTAAAAAGGAAATAGCAGACGTATAATATTTCAAAAATATATCAGAAAGGATGAATTCAACACAAAAAAAACTTTTTCTTACTTATAAACTATAACAATAGCTAAGTGGTAGACCTGAATCACGTAACCGGTACTCATAGCAGTGGGTTAGAATAAACTGTCATATCACATTACCCTCAGATCTCTGCGGCTCCTTCTCTACTTCTAACCCTTTTCAATCCAAAATAACTAACGAATTTGCATACGCCGACAAACAAAAGAACTGGCAGATGGCCAAAGTGAGATCATGATTTATGAGCAGTCAAAAAGGCGAGGAAATACTGAGATGATACGGTGATAGCCAGCTGTATATTAAGAAATAAATATCAAAGTCCATCATCACCAACATTTTTTGTTTTCTTCATTCAAATTTAGAGCGAACATACGATTCGTCATTCAATTCGATAAAAGAGGATAAGAATGTGAGATATTTTTTCATGTGTATGGAGTATCAACTCACAACCCCAAGCCAACTAAAGCAACCAACTAGCTACTTAAAAATCGAAATTCTTGTCTCAGATTAAATGTATAGAATTTAAAATGAAAAAACATGAAGTAACTCCGTAAAAATATAAATGAAGATCTATGAATGTAAATAATGTTCAGCCGAACGATAGAAACGGTAGTCTGATGAATAATATGAGTAAGCGACTTAAAGAAAGTGTTCAAAAATGTTTTTCTTGTTTTAGCTAGAAAGAAACAGTCTCACACTAAATTGTTAAATCTTGAAATCATTTGACTGGACTACGAAGTAATGAAGCAGAGGAGGAGGAGCTTTTCGAAAGAGTGAAGGTAACAGATGCCAAAGTTTTGCCTCGTAGGTTCTACCGATGTACTAGTGAAATACTAACTTACTGATGATAAGATATATATATATATATATATATTATTTTATATATATATATTTATACTACCTGATATAATCATTTTACCCAATAAGCATTCGAAAGGTATCTAAGAGAGAGAGATAGTGCGAGAGTCAGCGAGAAAAAAAAAAGAGTTAGAATCATCCCTTTAGAAGGAAGTGTGATTAATTCAAAATGTTTCAAGCCAATAAATTCAGATAGGAGAAAAGATTGACAGTTAGACAGCTAGAAGCAAACTTTATAACAGTAATTAAAATATTTTAAATAAAATGAACTAAACTATAATCATCGTATGTGATAGTTAGTTCTATAGTTAGCTATGCTGCTAACAATTTTAATTTCAATCAACTGGCATGGGGTAATAGATTAATCAAAACAGTTTTCATTCATTCACCTAATAAAGATCATTTAGGCATGATATGGAAGGAGATGGTCAACGAAAACTATAAAACGGAATGAAGAAAATAACTTTCTTCACAACAGTCCACTAAGGTTTTTATTGTAGAGAGTGAGATTTTATACTCCATAGAGATGAAGATCAGTTGCTGTAAATGGTCTCATGCACAGCTAATAAACATAAAAATAACAATTAACATAACGCTCTTAGAATCTAAGAGCAATGTTGTTAACTATTTTAAATGAAGATTGACGGTATCATTTTTGTCTCTTATCAGATATAAATTGAAAAATGCATGAAAAAAAAACAGCTTGGAACTACTCGTTATCAATCTTAACAACTCGAAGTTGCCAATATCGACACGTAATTTCAATGCAAAATGTAATATTTTCAGAATAAGACATGTTTGACAATAACATGGAAAAATCATTTTGTTAAGCATATGAATGTAAGATGTGAATATGAAGAAACAAAGAGAGAATGAAAGAAGGAGATAGGGAAAAAGCAAGAGGAAGATAGAGAGGGAGAGAGAGAGAGATTGGATGAGAATATGCATGTATATTGAAAAATAACTGACAAGGAAGACGAAAGAAGGCATTTATCCATTGGCTAATTAGATTATGCGCTAAGCTCATAAGTAATATTAATGACAACAGTTGCCCTCTAGCCTAATCGCATAGACTTTAGAAGAAATCTTATGCAATGCCCAGCAGCAAGTTACAATTAAAGCAACATTAGATATGAATCTTTATAAAAGATATTTAGGTCTGGGATACTAGAGCAGAGCCTGAGCTCTAATAAGATTCTATCAGCGATATCTCGTGGGAACAGCACAGGGATACGGTAGACAAATATGAGTTAAAAGAATGAACGCAAATTTTGAGGGACAAAAAAAAAAAAGAATATATAAGAAAAATGCAATGTTGAATGGATAGAGTGAAGAGAGGAAGAGAAACTATGAAGCAATGAACGAAAGAAGAAAATGAGAATGAAAGGAACAATGAAATTAAAAGAGCAAAAGTACGTCGACAGTAGCTAATCCATTAGAATAATTTAACTTATCGTCAATGATGTCTGTACTTGCGCGACATATTGTTTCTTTTTGAAGAAATAAATCTGGCGAGTGGCTAGTACAGAAGAAATAGTAGACGATGAAGAAGAAAAAAGATGAAGAATAAGAAGAAGACTGTCGCAAGTAATAAATCATCGACAGTTGCAGACATATGTACAAAAAGGCCACAAAAACAGAGAGAAATAGCAAAAGCAGAATAACATCAAGTCAATCCCAAATGCAGCAGCAGAAGTGTTAATTTTTAACATATAAATCCTCAACTAATGGCCTTGTAATCATAAAACACTAGTGAAGCATTGGGTCAAATGCCACAACACGCTCATAATAAACTTCGTATGTGACTGTATTTCTATCTTCACTAGTCTGCTCTACTCATAGATCTATCCTTATTCATTTCTCTTAACTCATCATCATACTTTAGATATTATTCATATAAATTAAATATATGAAATGAATATTATAAAGGTTAAATATACTGATAGATGTATCCAATTGGCTAATTATCTTATGGATGATGCGCTATTCTAACAATAACTCATCCATTACCGATTACGGGCATTACCATTGCGCCACAACATTTGGATGGATAATGCCTTATGGGGGTAAGTGAGGAACGAAGCGGCCAAATTTGGAAGACCAACCGAAATCGAGCGAACATACCCGCTGTGACTTGTCATCCATCATTTCATCTTCATCTGGTCCGCCCTAATATTAAAATCAACCAAATAATTTCACTTTTTTCTTTAATTTTCGTTATTGTAAGCTTCATCTTATATCTATCTCGTCTGATGAGTTCGAACGTGAGATGAACAAGAAAAAGAGAATAACATAATAATATTCTTTGAAATAAAGAAAAACTATTCGCTCTCAATTTTCTCTCTTAAAGAAAGTCTTAGGAACCTTCAAATTGTTTTGCATGGAATGGGAGACAGCATAATGTGGGTAGAGGGCTATGTACGTCACTCACTTTGAAGGGATAATGTGTGCAAAATCAAGAATGCACAACAGACAGAAGGAAAGAGATGAGAAATTATAATAAATCGATGTCCAGCTCAAAACCACAAATACAAACAATTGAAAATTGCTTGTCAACCTAGCGCGCAGAAACAAAAGAAATTAACGAAAGTCAAAAATATCAATCTTATAGATGGTCAGTCTATCTAGAGTTCATAAGAAAGATAACATGCATGAAGTCTTATTCTTTAACACAATGGTGAGAAAGGTCATTATGAGAAGCTGACAAAGGACATGACCATAGGTATCTACGTGTTTCAGGCTTGTACATTGGCAACAAAATAAACAAAAGACTAACCTTTTCTTGTCTGCAACTGATTGATGGAAGGATAATCGACCACGTAACTTGTCAATAAAAGTTAAAAATGATTCCCACGTAACGTTTTTTCCGGAAGTCACGTCAATCACTTCATTAGCATACGTACTCTAACTACGTGGAAAAGCAAAACTGTAAACTAACAAAATATTGATCGTTATTTTGTTTGAATCAGAGAAAAAAAGCAATTTGGCGGCAATTAGATAAAATACATTTATTAATTAGGATGTTTGGATTTCGAATATTGTATTTTGATCTCGTTCTAACTACAGTGATAGAGTGACTCAAAGTCAATCGTGCTTTATAATATAACATGTGATGGTGTGTTGAAACCAATATCTATCTAATTGTTTTACAAATTTTTGATTGCTTTAACTTGTTCAGTTATTGAGCTTCTGCTTAATCATAAATACAGCAGAATGAGAAAATAGTGAGCTCCTCCTGGCAGTTTCATTGTAAAGTTGAGATTACCTACAGCACAAGGTCTTCGGAGGGGCTTCTGTTATCCCATCTGTTGAATTGCGTCACGACGAGAAAGGGAAGATGAAGACGAAGAAGGGGAAGAAGATGAGGAAAAGAAGAAACGATTAGTAATAGATTATCATTTTGTTGACCGCCAAGGACGAAATGCGGAGTTCTTTTGATGTTGTGGCATCTACATGTTCGGATGAACTGTCTAAGAGAGAGAGGACACGGTTTAATCAACTGGAATTTATATGAGGGGTAATAGTTATTATAATTATGCTATTTACAGCCATATATCTAAAATAACATTCATTAAAATAATATAATGTAAAAATAATATTTTTAGTGTCAATCATGGTATTAGCCAATCAGCGACAAGGGTTATCTCATTTCATCCTTTAGCAATCGGATGAGCTTCACTAGATGCTGTCACTAAACGATTAAATCCATCCAATATTTGACTTCATCCATCTCGTGCTATGCTCGGATATTTGTAGATTACGGTATCCTCCGTCCAAGTTCAATATTAGACTAGAAGTTGACAGCTATATCACAATGAAGGAACAATATAAGCAATCGGCACACACATGACCACTCCCTTAGATAGCCTAATGAGCAAAAGTTGTCACATTCTACATCTTTGTATTTGATAAATAAAAGAGTTCAAGAATATAAACATATTTTTATCAGGGAAGCACGAATGCAATAGTTTTCACAACCGCTCTCCAGAATACAAACTTTTAAAAATGAAAATTGCTTGCTGAAAATCATTTTTAAGCGTTCTGGTGTGAAGGTTGGTTGGTCAGTACGTTGGTCAAATAGAATTTCTAGACATGAATACTATGAGTGCGCATATTTGAAGATTCGAAGAATATTTTTAACAATTTACTTCAGATAGCTTAACATTTCCGGGAAACTTGATTGTTATGAGACATAGCGAACGCTTAGATCAAGTGGTGCCAAACTATTTCGCTTCTCTCGACAATCCTTCATATCAAAGAACAGATTGTAATATGGTAAATGAACATTTATTCAAAAACTGATAAGAACAACATCTTTTCATTAGAAACCAGGGTTGCCAGTTAATAGAGATCTCGAGCACTATCGTTATGACTCTCCCATTACCTCAAACGGAGAACACATTGCTAAGCTAGTTGGGAGAGAATTAGATCTCATGAATCTTGTCCCAGGTGAGAACCAATTTTTCACAATTCAGAAAAAAATCTATATTTAAAGACATAATTTATTCTTCACCTTCATTGCGTTGTTTGCAAACCGCTGAGATCGTAGCAAAGATGAGTGGAAGTAAAAGCTTGATAAGGTCAGTGGTTTTCCTTTTCAGTTTTTTCACATAAAATACTATTCAAGAGTTGAGTCTTGTTTGTTTGAGAACATTGAATCATATCCAGCGAACATTCCAACTTTCCTTAATGAGGAACAAATGAAGAAATTCATGATCGAAGAAAATTTCACACCGCTTCTTCCAGCGAACCAGGTATCCGACATTCATAGATCTGTCTTAATATTTAAATTGAAGTTGTTTGATCAATACGAGTCGACTGAACAGTACAACATACGAATTCATAGTGTTCTGAAACGTGTGTTGAAATTGGGAGAGAACCTGGATAAACCTTCAAGCACTGTTTTGGTAAAGACTTTTACTCTTTATATTCCTCTATATGTTATTCTCACAAACAAAAATATTAATTAAGATTGTTGCTCATGCGTCTACAGTTGATATGGCAGTCGGACTTCTTAGAGACTGTCCTCGTTTAACTACTGATCAAGATCTCTATAAGATTGGAGATAAAATCCCATATTGTTCAACAGTCTTATTAAAAAAGGTCTTTATTTTTATTTAAATTATCTTAAAAGAGTAATCAAATGTTTTTAGAAACAGGAAAAGTGGATTCCAAGCCATTCATTACCATTCATCACATCGAAAATGTTTACAAATCGTCCTGATTATGAATTTATTGAGAGATCTTAAGGTATGGCAAGTAGAACACATACGTTAACAAGTCATAAATATAAAAATAGATTTGTAAATTTAAATGCATTTTTTATAAGATTTCAAATTGGTGGCCAGTAGATAGGCCGTTTTTCTTATAATCCGAATAAATTCCAAGCGGAGTCACACTTCGTGGACTTTTCGGCGTTATACTTCGTTGTTCCGAAGTTGAACGAGCGCTGAAGTTTATGGGAGGAGTTTCAACTGTAAAGTCATTATTAATATTGAACTTTTCTATCAGAAAAATGATTACTTTTCCTCTCTTTAATAATTGATTGTAGCGGTGGCTGATAGTTTTCGCCTTCTGTACGGGATAATAACCAGAACGTTTCCATGACCCCTTTTCCCTGAAAAAAGTTCAATTTTGAACTCGAATGTCTTATTCATTCATGTCAGAACCTTTATAATAACTTCACCACGACTTTCTGTTTTAAAACCACCGACGACTTCAGTCATCATACGATTAGCTTCAGCAGAAAGATGTATATGTCCAGCTAGAATGATAGTAATGCATATGAAATAGTCAACAGCATATGTACCTTTTCCATTGCTCTCCATTCTACTTGCAGTGTTAACAGTATCTCCAAAGAGACAATATCTCGGCATTGTCAAACCAACAACTCCCGCCACGACCGAACCTTAATAATTATGTTACTCAGTACAAATGTCAGGTGATAAACCAGAATGAACTCCGATTCGGAGATTCATGCGTTCGGATGGTAAATGAGGTATCCTGAATGATCTTACTCCGTCCATAAAAGATAACGCCAAGCATGCGATTTCTCTTGCATGTTCATTGCCGTTCCTATGTGGTAGTCCGGAAACACATAAATATCCATCACCGATAGTTTCTACCTATAAAATAAAAACATGTCACCGTCCAAATTTATTGTCGTCACCTTGTAAACATCAGCCTCCTCTATTATGTTATCTAGTATATTATAAAGATCATTCAGTAGTGTTACGACCTGCAAAGGCATCTTTCATTACATACTCAAGTACCTTGATGAGAATTACCTGTAGAGGTGTGCATTTGCTTGCTAGTATGGTAAACTGAACGACATCAGAGAAGAAAACTGTAACGCTATCAAATGTTTCTGGTTGAACAGACTGTCCAAGTTTGAGTTTATCCGCAACTTGTCTGAATTTTAAACTTCATCTAGCAAGGAAAGTAGGAAAATATATACCTGGGTAGCATTCTATACAATAGAACATCAGACTTTTTTTTCTCTTCTACTAATTCCTTCGTACGAGAAGATACTTCTTCTTCCAATGTTGCAGCATACGTCTCCATGATGTTGAAAACATGATCCATCAAATTATCGTTTCTGCAACATACTGAAGATCTCAACATTTTCTAAATAATTCTACCTTCCATTGTGCAATCCTTTCAACAAAGCTCGAATTTGCTCCACTGCGGGTCTCTTATCCTCATCTTGTGCCCAACAATCTTTTATGAGTTCAAGCTAAAACTGGCATCTTAGAACTTCATACATGTCACACTAACCATTCCAGAGCTGACATCTATTGTCTCGTGCGCGGTAAGTTCAGGTCGCGGAGGCTGGCCTCTGTCTCGTTTCAGCCAGTAAACGATAGCTGAAAATGAAAATAAAGCCACCCCAAGACAAGTCAGCTAAAACTCTCTGCTGGTTCTTTGCGGTTATCCAAATCCCAGGCTGGTTTTTTAGTGATCAACTCTGAACACACAATGGCGAAGCTGTAGACATCTGCCTTTTCTGAGCCATGAATCAATCCTTTTAACACTTCAGGAGCGGACCACAACATATCTGTAATTTACATTACGTTGATATTCATTACACCTTCAACGAAACCTTCGTTACTACGTGTAGTTGCTTCTCTCATTTTCTCCAATCCAAAATAGGACAGCTTCACTTGGAAGCGCTCATCCACTAGACATGTCTCGGATGTCAGATTACCATGATATTTCAGAAACGATTTGTGAATATATGAGAGGCCCTTAATATACAAAGAACTAATCGGAGTACTAACAACTGAAAAATACACTAATAATATCTCGAATCAGAGAAAATACAAAGAAGTAATCCATAGTAATAGAACCTTTGAGGATGACGTCTTTCAAGCTGCCTCTACCACAGTATCTTAAAAGCTCCTTCGTTTACCTAATATTCACACGACAACTGACCTCCATACGGATAAGAACTCAGGTCCATCTAAAACTAATCCTAAGAATGTATTCATATTATCATGTTCCAATTGACGTAGCTGAACCACATAAGATAATGTTAAATATTTAGTACCATTGCTCATTACTTGTCTCAACTCGCTGGCATCATCATCGTCTGGCCTGAACTTTGTTGTATGTTTCAACGCAGCTACCTTATCATTCTGAACGAACTCATTTGAAATACTTAATACTAATAAAAAAAAATTACATTTAAAATGAAAAACTTATAGTGTCGCGTTTCTACTTTGTTTTCCATTGTGATTTTTGTTCCAGTTGACGATGGACCACTACTGAGCGATCGGATACTTTGCTCACCTTTGTTCTGAAAATCAAAAATTGTTTCAATAGAATATTTTATGTTTTTACTTTCTTCTGAACCGCCTGCAAATGAGAAAATGGAATTTGCCACATCATGTTCATTCTCTCCATTTCTCTACGTTTAGATCTAAAGTAACACTCTCAGTTATGATAAGAGGTTGTTAGCAGATTTGTACAAATCACAGAAAACGGAATGAATGAAAAGAACAGGACATTACCTCATGGAATAGAAAAATCCGCTCAATGCACCGCCGAATGTAAGGAAAATGAGAACAGATGCCACAATAACCCAAACAAGATACGTTGAAACGAAGTTGACAGGGCACTGAAAGGCATTCGTAAGAGGTTGGACAACAGGTTCTTTATTCTAATACACTATCTTCTCTGAAACCACAAATTGGCTCCACTAATGGAGGGGCTTTATTCTTGCGATTCGCGAACACTTCGCTTATGCTTGTATAGCCAGGAGTCAAATTCTAAAACAATTTGGCTCTGAATATAGTGTGGCTGAAGAATCTTACAGCTACTTGACCATTGATATTAATGCTTCCAAAGTTTTGAGGTTCTCCTTGCGCATTAACTGCCATCATATAGAAAGTTATGACACGGGTGTTGTTTGCATTGAATTGGATGTTCCCAGCGGCTCCTGTATTGAACGATGTCATTTCTCAACGTAGAATTCGATGTTTCACCTTTGAAACTGACTTCTGAATTCATTAGCAGCATTTGACCATCTTCAGCAATGGTGAGTAAGTTTTGGTCAGGATGTTGCTGCATTGTTTTATTTAACATATGAGCATAAAACATAACACTATCATGAAGTTGTCCAGCATACATAGATCCCTTGAGAATAATTACGTTATTTTACCTTATCAACGATAGTAAACGAACAACTGTATAGTTTTTGCATTCAGCAACGCAGTTGAAAGGAGGGTCTTTCATTCGGCTTATAACTTCTTCACTGAAAGCTGCATAGGCAGCCTGACCATCTTTGGTCAAATCGGCCTGTAATCATGGTATAAAACATGATAAAATGTTAGTTTATATTACATCAGTCAAAGCGATTACAGTCTTGAAGGCTTCCCGCGCATCATCAACATCATCAGCACCAGTATCGGAGTCCCAAATAAGACGATCGGTGCCATTATTTCTTGTAACATCTTATAAATATTGTATACTCTAGTTAGAAAATGGGGCTTACAAAATCCTTTGTTCTTTGTATCAGCAAAAATGTAAAGATATTCATCGTTCACAAATCCATTTCTGTAGGCTGTTACCATAAACCTTCTTTTGAGACCATGTCCCTCAGCAAAGCAAATGACAAATACTAGAAATCGGTCAAATTTTTAAGAATTTGGAATTATGTATAAGGGAGATATGAAAGTTATCATTCCATTGATGCGAAGGCTTACAAGCGATAGTTAGTCAGTTATTAGAATGATTTTTGGAGATGAATCTTGTGATGATTTCAATAATTGATCTTAATATATACGAGCGTATTAATAATGTTTGTGAAGCCGAGAGAGTTAGTGTGGGATTCGATAATGCATTTAGTTGTTTTTTTTTCTGTGGTGGGGGGGGGAGTAGCCGACTTACTACGTGCACGTTGTCGAATGATTTCCAGTGCTTTAGTGAAACCTTCGTCTGTGACATCGGAAATTTCGATTGCCAGTGATATTTCCAACATAGTACCGGACATGCTCAGGACTATCTAGAAGAACTCACTTCGAGCACGCCGACTAGCAATTCGTAAGCTATTTATATAACCATCATTGCTAACATCTACTACTTCCATGGTTAAGGATATTGACACATCAGAATTTCGCGAAACAGCGGACTGTAATACAGTTGAGCTTTCTGTCTTCATGCGCATTCGATATGTATGCATGAGCGATCGACAATTTAATCGGAGTTCTGATGGGAATCCGAACATTTAACCTCCCATACACAAACCTGTAAAGCAGTTCTCATATCTTCACACTTTTCACTATCCATATAGTTTGAATAAATATATGCAAATTCTGTCAAATTGTACTCAGAAAGCATTCTTCTGATTGCGTAAGCAAGGCTTGAATAGTTTCATTATATCCATGTCGACACAGGAAGCTTACCTTAAGGAGCTGGCTGCCATGTTTGCGAGTGTTGGGAAACGAACACGATCACTCAATCGATGTGCTGTTGCTAACCCCCAACTAACGACTGGTAAGTTGAACACTTTTCCCATAACACCAGCAAGTTCAGTAGCTGAAAAATACACACTTGATTTAGCCTCGAAAATAGGTTGTTATACTGGAACTACAAGTTGGTCCTATCATAGCAACAACTCTCTTCTCTCTCAACATCAGTAAGCCTCTTCCGGCCATCAAGTCTTCTTCGCAATCATCGAAGGCGTATGTGAAACTAATAATTTAGAAGATAGATAAGTTCATCATCTGAGCGCCTACTTCAAGTAATAATTCGGAATCAACCCTTCTGATGCGATCCGATCTCTTGCTATCAAAACTGCTGCAGCAGAAGAGAAGTATCCAACAGTAGTGAGTTGCTGAGGTTTCGTATTAACGAAGAACAGAGCAATTTCTAAAGGTGTCAACCCAGTGTTGTTCGCTACTTGGCTATGAACTTCCTGAAGATATTAAATAAAAATGATTTCTTTGAAGTAAAATTAGTTTTACGATACACCCTTCTTTCATCGGACATGAATCGAAAGATCCAATATTTTCTCTCTAGCACATAAGTGTATAAGAGCGGTTGCTCTCTTTGTTTCTTGAAATTGAAAGAAACTTACCCAAGCAAAAAGCAGGAGAAATGGAAGTAGCTTTATCGCTAACATTGTAAAATATGAAATGTTTTAAAGTGTTTTTGGTTCATATTCATATTTATTATGATAGTGAGAGGTTTCTGTGGGCAGTTATTACTACTGTAAATGGCATCAAGTGCTTCAATTAAATGTAATAAATCCTTCTTTATGAGAAAAATCCTCACAATGTTTTAATCCTGTGAAATGAAGCGAATAGTTATTATATATACAACGCATCTTAGAAACAAGGAAAAACATAAGATTGAGATTCTGTAGGATATTCAATTTAGCTGAACTGTCTGATCTTCTTAGCGTTATACTCCTCGTAGAATTTGGCATACATATTATCGGAATCACCACTATATTGATCCAAAAGATCATAAACCTTCTGTGGCTGTTGTTTCTCTGGAAGTAATTATTGAAAAAGTTCAAAATTGTGTTCTACCTTCAGCATGTCTCTTGCTGATACGATGTAATTCAAATTGACGATTTTCCTCTTGTAGCTCTGCGAACCTAAGAAAGGACCTTCAAACAAAAGTTAAATACATTACTAACTCTTGTGGAGACATAATCTCTTGAAGATATTTGTTAATATGTTCTTTTACAGTCGGCTCGTCAGCGCCTTGTCCACGAGCTTGGATAATCAGTTCATGTAGTGTTTGCTGAAAAAGGGAATATCACATCAACGATTTTTTTTGTGAGGTTTAAGCAAATACTACTGTTCGGATTATTCTATTTGCTCATTAAAGTGCTATTTTCTTAAAATAAAGTTTTCTTGAATACTATAAGTGAAATGAACTTTATGACTTTTCTGAACAGAACCTGTTGGCTATCGGATAAATGTCTTGCGAATGGAGAGAGTGGGCATCCACGGCTAGCAGAACGTTCAACTCGCTTAGGTGCTGGCGAAGCACTAAGTCCTTGTTGTGATCCAGGAGCGGGCTAGATTGCATATCATATATATATTTTCAAGAAAGAACTTACGAGCGCATCATGAGTGACTGCAGTTCTAAAAGTAATGGGAATGTTAGCTACTACACACTGAATAGTCAGTGCAAGAATCCAAAACCCAGCTTTCATAATGGTAGTAGGAACGAATGAGAAACACAAGAGGGAGTTGAACTGAGTTCGGAAGGACTGACCAGTTGCGTTTTGAATGATTCAGCTAAGTTTCTTCTTTGACCGCCTTATATTCGACGACTACGAGGAATAGAAGAGTTCGCATTGGACAAATAGGAAACAATTGCAAGAGGAGTCGTTGAAAAGTCAATAGATTAACAACAACTACGTGAGCTAAGAATGCTCTAAATACAACAACAGATGAAGCTGCTCACACGAGTTTACAAAGGGAAAAGGGTTTATTCGCAATAGACTTTACGATTTCAAGATTTGAAATAGTTATAAATTACTTTAATACATTTTCTTTCCACGTATCCAAGATGATCTATGATTTTCCTAAAGCAATAGCAACAATGAACAACCATGGAATATATAGAAGATGTTCGGGCTCTTAAATTGGGTTGGCTGGATCACAAAATAGAACAAAAACATTATATCGTGACACGAAAAAAGCATGAATATGATTAATTTGAAAGAGGTAAGAGAGCAAATAATACAAATTTTCAAGTGAGAGTATTTGCTGGAGAATAAATTACACTGCTTCCGCTGATAATTCTTTACAACTTCAGAAGAACACCTTCAAAGGCATATTATTTAATTATTCTAAACGGCTTGGGTAGCTGTAGAAGTTTCAGCTTTCCACTTATATTTGGCAGTTGTTGCTGCACCGGGGGCAGTAGTAGTAGGATTTGTTCCGGTGGAGGGTGGATGATAAAAGTAACATCCCTGATTATAACATGCGGCTCCATAACGACAAGCCTGAAGAAGAGGTAATTAAGTTTTTAGTGACGTACTCTTATACCTGAGGATGTTTAAATGTGCATCCGAGTTTAGTACAAGCCGCACCAAAACGGCAAGGAGTGAAAGAACTGAGTTGGGGTGGTTCAGCTGACAGGGGAACAGTTGGTCCGACATCGTCCGATTCATTTGGAGTCGAAGCAGCAAGAGGGGTAGGTTTCTTCTGAGGCATAGTAGGAACCAGTCCAGTCACTTTGCCTCCATGAGTAAAGATGCATCCTTGTTTCGTGCAATTCAACCCGAAGCTACAATAACAAGATTCAAAAAATTGATTACTAAGAAGAATCACCGGCAGAGTGGATGAATGTATAAACATCTATTGCCAAAAGTACAATTTGGGAAATTTCTGAAAATAATTATAAGCTTAAATTTTAAGCAGGTTTTGTCATACGAGCAAGTCCTGCTTGGATGAGCAAAGGCGCAAGTATCTCCTTGCCTACAATTAGGCCAGAACTTGCAACGCTCAGGAGGCTTAGGTCCATCATGTTCCTTCTGAAGATAATTTGATCCTCTGCTCAAATGCGGGATAGGAGGGAGGTCTTCGTCATCCATAACTGTTCGTGTAGAAGCTACTATGGCATCGATAGCGTCTTCTGAAACTGGTATGAAGTATCACATGAAAGCACGTGCCCTACCGTCGTCTTCTTCTGACATATCTTCATCTCGTACGTTTATTTTACCGTCCCACTTCATATAGGTTGGAGAAACTCGCTCGTTTTCATCATGTACTCTTTGGATCACTCTGGGTTCCACTCTACCACTAACTGAAAAACAAAATTTTAGCTGAGATCATGATAAGATTAGTAGTACGATGGCTGAGTTTCCTTTTCGATCCAGCCTTCAGACTGGGTAAATGGGTTTTGGCTCCTGTGAGGGTAACTGTTATTCTTGGACCAGCTTTTTTAGAACTTTGTCCAATTACAAGTCCGGGATCATTTTCTTCCTCATGATCCATTACAATCGATTTGCCAGGTGGTACAGTTAATCTGCTAATCAATGCTGGTTTAGCCACTTCTTGAGGTTTTGGCTTCGAAGAAGTAGAAGTGGAAGAAGAAGAAGGCTGAATGTTTCAGATGAGGAATACATGTGTCGACAATTAAGAAACCTTTGCAGATCCAGAACTTCCATAACCGGCACTAGCACTAGCTTCAGATAGAGCTTTCATGAACATTAACTGTGATCTAGATTTAGCTTCCTTCTCACTGAAAAGACTTTATACAAGGCCTTTTTTTTTGTACTTACTCAGGTATCGGCCTCAGTTTCCGCTTAACAATGACTTGAGATGAAACTTTAGCAGCTTCAGGACTGCCGTTCATGTTTCTAGAAACGACAACTCTTGATTGAACCTTCAATGAATATGGTAAAGTGTATATCTATGAGTTTCAACCTTTTTAATTCCTTCTTCCTCTGAATCATACGAAGCCTCAGAAACCGTTCTGGACCTTGTACGTCGTCGAACTCTAGCAAACTCCCTTGAGCGTCGTTCTTCTTCTCTTCTGAATACCAGCGAGTTGGAAAGTTGAAACTATGCACAACTCACTTTTCACGTTCTCTGTCTCGTTCTCTGCGTTTTCTGTCCTCCTCTTTTCTCTCCTTAAATAGTATGATTAATGAAAAACGGAACAGTTTCCACAAACTTTTTCCTTTCTATCCTTTTCTCTTTCTCGTTCTTTTTCCTTCTCCTTTTCTTTTTCCTTTTCTCGTTCTTTTTCTCTCTCTCGTTCTCTCTCCCTCTCCTTTGCTTTTTCCCTGTCTGAATCTCTACGAGCTGAAATAAAGTATTATATTTGGAGAAAAGAGAAGAAAACTTTACGCTTTCTATCTGTAGTATCTACGGTATCTTTTGGTCCCGAAGAGTCCTGAAATATTCAGTTAAACTAGTTTTGATCGTGAAGAAAAAACCTTTTTTTTTAACTCGTCCGCCGCTTTTACCTTCGAGGAACTACTAGCGGAGCTACTGGTAAGTTGCTCACACACTTCAAACAACCTAGATAAACCATAATTTATAAAAAAAAAAACAGTGCTCTTCCATACCAGTCGACAAACTTAGGGGTGATTTTCCCCATGAACAATAGAAGGTTTTCCCTCATTTCTGTTTTATCCTTCTTATTAGCTATCATTAGCATAATATATTGAAGGAGATCCTTGTCAGCCGGTACATCAAGCTCTTCCAATTTTTTCTTGATTGCCAACTGAAAGAAAATTGGTGATACCAGCCCAGACATATGACATACTTTAAGTTTGTTTGATATTTCGTCGGTGAATGCGCTACCCATTTTGACCCCTGAAAATCTTTTCATTAGAACCGAAGAAACGTTAATAAACTTTATAACGGTCATGATAGCAAAAACGCATTAATATACAAGGAATCAAATAAATAAACAGAAGTAAGAAGAATAAATCAGATTTCGAATATATTGGAATCACTCCATAGTAGTAGGCGGAGCCTATGCTGCAACGCGTGCACGGTTACTATTCCAACAACCCTCTTTAACCATCAACCATCAAAATTTTTGCATTTACATAAACATGTGTTCGGTAGAGATGCTAGAGAAAAACCTCTAAGATATAATTTCCATCAACAGTTCTTTGATGAGGGAAGAGTATGACTGTTTATATTGATTGAATAATAGTGAAATAGTCGTGTGATATGATAAGCTATTGGAAACGTGGATATATTTATGATATAATTAAGCTTAAGATATTGATTGCAGAATAGGGTGGCTTGTGTAATCTATCATATTGATGATCTATCGCTGAAACCTGTGTTCGCGCGATCTTTCTTTCTCTGGTCGTGGAATAATCATGCTCTATGTATTTCAGTTAATGTGATTAATCATTAGTGGGGTGTTTACCTCTTTCTACCCTTTTACATCTTTTCGACAAATTTTCTTGTATGATGTTTGTTTAGAGAAGTTTAAAAGGTAAATTTAAAGAATTATTTTGTTTTTGAGTATTTATACAGTTAGATATGACTGAAGTTTCTCCTATTTTGGATAATGTTTCACTGATGAGTAGATTAAGCATAGGGGATACACAATGGGGGGAGCATTATGTTGAGCGGATATACCAGGTTAGATGCTTTTCACAAATGCCCATATATTCGTTTTTTGTTTAGATATGTGGGCAAGTCCATCCGGGTATGGCGATTGATCATGACGCAGTTTTGCATGTCAAAAATACTATTATACGGATCCTTGCTGAGGTTCCAATTAAAATATGATCAAAAACAACTGATTATTCATTAAGATTTTGGAGTCTCGCCCTATGCGAGTTTCTGAACTCGAAAAAAATTTTTTACGCCTTTTTCCCAAAAGTTGTCAATGGATTGTGAAGGTGAGCTATTACTCATTAACAGTCTCATTTTCTCTCGTTAAGGAAGGTTTGGAAACATTATCCCATACTCCTCGAAAGTCTCATTCGGCACGGTTTGGCTTCTCGCGACAACATGAGTTTCATTCGAAAATGATCAGCCTTGTTGAAGTTTTGTTTATTATCATACCTTGGCCTTATTGGAACTTCTAGAGTGTTGTTGGATCTCGTGAAAATGATAAGAGAGATCGTGAACTTGAGAAAGAGATCGAGAGAATGGGTTTTTTCACTCAAGCCGTTTGTGAAATTTTAACAGAGGTTTCTTGGTTCTAGTTTTATGTTGATCTGAAATTCATCTCAGGATATATTGAAATGGACAGGGAACTATGTGAAACACATCAGAAGCACTGATCCCAAGATCACTCTTCAAAACTTACAAATTGCTATGAATGCAGATAAGGTATCAATCCTTAGATGATCTCATATCACAGAGAAATATAGGGTCTTATGCAATTAACAAGTTGTGTTAATAATGAGGAAGAAGACGTTTTCATTGGAGGCTTCTTCTCCAATTTTTGTGAGTACAATGAAGATATCGTGGATTCCCAAATATCTATGCCCAATGTTACTTACGAATCAGTATGTTTTACGCCAATTTTCAATCATTTCGGCTGACCACTTTTCATTTTCAATGACAAGCTTTTGCGATGCGGTTGATCATCATTACTCGAGTCTGATCAGAATGCTCTAGTCAATGTTTTCAGATTGCACATGAGTTTCTTAAAGAAGAGAGATTATATCTTCGCGAACTTAATCAAACAAATATTTTCGTGAAACGTCTCGAAAGTTACTTGAATGAAACTGATAAGGTTCAATAATTGCGGAATATATATATATATTAAAACGATTCATCCTCTTCAGAAACTACTCAAACAAATTTTCGGGAACTTACAAGAAATTCATGATTTGACTATAAAAGTTGAACGCACTTTAGAAGATTCTATCGAAATGAACGACGGACTGTGTATAGGAATGGGCTTTTGGGAACTTTCCGAAGCTCAAGAGTTTGACACGTATGTTTCATGAAAGAAGGAAATGCATACTATAAGTATTTCTTAGTTATTTGTCCTATATGATGAGAGGAGAAGATGAAGAGCAGTTGTACAATATTGCCGTCGAAGCGGGTATAAATGAATTATTGGTGAATTCACAATATGCTCATATATTCTCTGTCAGTTTCTTAACGATTCTTCTCTTTATTAATACTTGATTCAGAATGATGATGGAGGCTATGGTAATTCTTTGGAGGGCACCACTTTTCGTTTAGCCGTACGTTGTGTTTTGCCCACATTATTAAGTGCTCCTATCTTGCACTTATTTAGGTACTTAGATTATGTAAACGTTAGTTATTCTTTTATCAAAATTTTCTAAATTTGTTTTTGAAGAAATTACTTCGTTTTTATCAAACTGAAGAAGATCGTACGGATCTGGAAAACTGTAAAATATACTTGAACAGTGTGGTGAACAAAATAGAGAATCAATGCTCTCATTTGAAATCTAAGATTAAACAGTGAGGAAACTATGTTGCTCCCTCTTATTTCAAAATTTTCTAGGGAGCAAACTGTGAGGAATGATTCACGTATATCTCAGGTTAAGAAACTTCAAAACATCCAATACGCCATTGATGGGTTTGAAGGAAATCCTATAGGGCAAACGTGTAATGAGTTGATGAAAGGTATAATGAAACATGAATGAGGAGAACTGATATGTGCAATTTCTGTTTGTAGAAGGCAGTTTACAAATGGTACGGCCTTCTGTTGCTATAACAGGGGATGTCACGAAGAAAGGTAGATGGGCGACTGATCGGTATGTCATAGCTGCTTGAATGGTATTAAAGCGATTTACTTGCAGCTACATATATTTGTTCGATCAACTGATTGTTTTTTGTAAAAAACATAATAAACAGACAAGTAGTAAAGCCAGTAAGTACAAATTCAAAACTCGTGCAGCGGTCTCCAGAGTAGAAGTCGTAGATTTGGGGAACAATAACGGTTTGATCTTATTTTTGTTTTCTGAAAGTAAAGAAGCGTTCTTCAGGTTTGAAACATTCTTTCCGGCTGGATATTAGAGAGAAAAATCTTGTATTATCATACACAATGGTATGCAAAAGTTTGGAAGAAAAGTCTTCTTGGCTTACAGCTTTAGTCACTGTCACTACTAAAGGGTAACTCCCATAGTCAACGTAGAAGATCTTCCCTTTTCCAGGCTTCTAGACAGAATTTTGGATGCATATCAGAAAGAAGATTCTAAAAGAATACCTCTCATTACGCCTTCCCCAGCGCAGTACAGGTATCTCGAACATGCTGGAAGATTCTAATTTATATAATAAAAGATATGCCGAAGCGGATTCTGAGGAGAACATTATATTTGAAGACTATACTTCTAGTAGCGGTGTGCCAGAAATCAAAAGTGGAACTATATTAAAGCTTGTGGAACGGCTTACTTATCATCAGTATGTTTTAATGAGCTGTGATTTATTTTTTTTCAATTGCTTAGATATACTGATAACAAGTTCGCCCAAACATTCCTTATATCATATCGAACTTTCACGAGTCCGCATGAACTACTGGATCTTCTGGTTGAAAGGTTCAATGTTCCCATCCCGTTAGAGTTGCAAAACCAAGAGATGAGGTACTACTTTAATATGATCTAATCTTATTATTTGCCATGAATAGGGGAGGACCATTGGCAGGCAGATATGATACAATTCAATCCCATGGGCTTACTTCTGGGAAACAGATCCCAATACGCATTCAAGCGCAATGTTATCAACGTTTCACAAAAGAGTATGAGCGCCCTATACAGCGCAGGTAAGCAATGATACAGATATAATAAAGCCTCTCGCATGTTTTAAGAGTTTTGGCAGTAATGCAGCAATGGGTCAAAAAGCATTGGTCTGATTTCGAGAATGATCCTGGCTTGTTAGAAAAATTGAAGGAATTTCTTCAAAAGTCTTGTGAAACACAGGGCAAACTAACGAATCAACACAAAAAATTTTGTAAAAGTATTAGTGTAGGTGTTGTGCTTGTGTTTAATCTTATTGCTCTTAATAACACTCAAGAATTATCATTAATTTCAGGCGTTAATCGAGAAGCTTGTCGTAAAAAGCGCTGGTCCATTGGAAAATCATACAAGCTCAACAGCTTTTGATTGGGAAAGTGTTGCTACTCAAAATAGCCGTTCAAATCAGTTCCAACCAAAGAAGCCCGAGGTGTTATCGTGCTTTAATTATTTTTTTTAATGTTTCTCTCAGATTGTGTGGCATATAGCCAAAAAAGGAGAGATTGAAACGTACGATTTATTGACTTTGCATCCACTTGAAATCGGGAGACAGGTTTATCCTTGTAACTTAAGCTAGAACCAATTTTGTTCAGTTGACCATCCTTCATTTTGATCTTCACCGCGCAATAAAGCCCAGCGAGTTCGTTGCTGCCGCTTGGACCAAGCATGATAAACATGAGAGAAGTCCTCAACTTCTGAAATTGATTGGTCATTGTAATCTAGTATGGAATAGAACAATAATTTCCGATTCAATTTTTTTATTACAGCTTACTTATTGGGTATCTCGTTCAATTGTTGAGTCCGATTCCTTAGAAGAACGAGTTGCTATGCTAAGTCGAGCTGTAGAGGTTTATTTCTTGATATTTGATGTATTTCTATCTTACTTTTTAAAGGTTATGTACGTGTTCGAAGATTTACATAATTTCACAGGAATTGTAACTTTTTTGTCGGCCTTGCACTCATCCAGTGTCAATAGACTTAGGAACTGTTTTGATGTACAATTTCGTTTGTAACTCATAGTAACAGTTTAATTACAGAGACTGGATAGTGACAAGATGAAATGTTATGAAAGACTCGATAATCTTTGTGACTCGAGATATAAAAATTTAAGTAATCGCCTCAAAGACATAAACCCTCCTTGTGTTCCATTCTCAGGTAAATGAAAAATCGCTTTGCTTAGTTTGATGTGTTGTAGGATTGTATATGTCGACGATATTTCGTTTCGAAACAGGGAACAGTACTTTCGTGAAGAATGTATCGGATAAAGAGAAAAACAAAAAATCTCCGGCTCATCTTGTGTCTTTCTACAAATGCAGAAAGATATCTGATCAAATTCGAGAAATCCAAATGTATCAGGACCAACCATACTATCTGCAAGTTGAACCGTCTATTCGAGTAAGTTAAATGTGAAAAAGTGAGCCAACAGAGTAATTCTCAGCAATACTTCGAAACAATCAATCCATTGGCAGACTTTAACGAAAATGAAGAAGAGCTACAGACATATTTATTTGAGAAATCTCTCAAAGTTTTCCCTAAAGACGGCGACAAAACTCCGGAAACAAACGTGGTATATTGTTTTTAGTAGCTCCGAAAACTCACGTTTTGTTGGTAGAAATCTAAAAGGCCTCCAAATGTTCTGAAGTCTCCTGGAACAAAACCTCCGAAATCAAATAATGCACAATCGCATCACCAACAAGCTATGACCGTTCCCAGCACCCCAAATCCGGATAATGATGGGTAAGTAGTTGAGAAGTTCTTTTTTTTCATGGTTTTTAGACCAAAGTCGGCTTTCCTGTTATCAAGTAGGGATGACAGTCAGATGAATCTAGATTCTCATCACATTCGGCACTATTCTGGTGAGAGTTCCCGCAGAACGCAAGCTCCGAGCAAAATAGGTATTGGATTATACCTATATTGATTTATTTGATTTTTCAGGTCTATTGCAACCACCCCCTACGTATCCTCATAAGTCCTCTAGATCCCTTCCACCACCTATTCCTTTTGCACCTTCGACTCAAAGTTATCTACCAAAATCTCAACCGAAGTCACCACTATCCGCAAAAACACCTCCTACTCCTAAGTCTGCCAATCGATCGATCGGTATATTTATCCTTTTTTCCGCTTATCATTAGTGAAAATTACTCTTTTTTAGTATCTGATGCTTTTATTTTCCCGTCGACTGATTCTAACAGCGCCTATCCTGTTAGAAACCATCGATATTCTGGAGATGGTAATATTGTTAGTGAGCAAAAAGTTGTTTTCGAAAGGTTAGTTGAACTTGATTCATTCTATTGTGATTAACAACCTCCTTATAGGCCACGCTCAGCAGTTTCTCATTCTCCTACTGTTTGCTTATCAGTTCCGTTACCACCTGCTCTGCCTCCTAGAAGAGTAGTTTTCCCGCCACCGTTGCCTCCAAAACCACAGTACGTGTTCAAGTGTTCTGACTTAATAAATGAATTCGTTTATAGCCGCAGCCAAACTCCGCCACCCCTTCCGCCAAAAACTTACAAGCACAAACAGAGTAGCCCAGATTTGCCTCAGCAAGAGAAATAATTTTGTTTTCATTCTTTTTTCATTCTTTTTTTTCTGCTATAAGCTATTTTGTTGGCTATTAGGTTTTGTTTTTTTTTGCTCAGAATCGTCTGAGACAGTTGCCGATATGATCTCGTTTGTATGTAGATTGGTTTGCTTGACCTTATCCGCACTTCCATATATAGAC